GGCATTTTGAAGGTCAGGAAGTTGTCTTAGATGTTGTAAGTTGTGGTAAGATTTTAATATTCATTAATAGTTGACATTATTAAATCAGAAAATAATTGTTAGTTTATTATGACTCGTGTTGAGATTTCAGTCAAACTTAACAGTCAATAATTTATATCCCTAGTGCGCTGTTGATTATATAATTAATGTTATGTAAATTTTTTTAATTTTTAATTAGGACCGTCTCATAACGCAATGTCACATATTCTTGACCAATCTTACTCATCATCGGCAACCACAGCTTTGTTCCCTTTCCAAGCTACTGCACGATACATAGCTGTTGGATCTAATCCTATGTTATCATATTATGCAACCACAGACTCGAGTCGTCCTTTTCTTCTGGCTGTATCAATTGCGAGCATGGTTGCCTCAAAAGTTACGAGTGCTGTGTTCTCACTTGCAAAGACATTATTAACGGCAACAGGCACTATTTCAACTGTGGCTGCTGATGGAGGTTCATCCATGGCCAACATCGCGCCAGCCACTTCTATACCTTTAGTGCTATCTTTAAAAGATGCTAACAGAAAAATAACAAAGATAATGTAATTTTAGTAATTTTTATGTTTGATTTTAATTAAATAAAAAAATCAATAATTGTAATGAGTATTTAGTCATTATAAATTTTAATTTATCAAAGAATGTCTCCTGCTGCTGCGGATGGAAAATATCAATTAGCTGCTCTAACCGATTCCTTAGGCAGGGTGAGATTTATTTTATATATATACTTTAATCTCAAATGATATTGAAAACGATATTCAATTTATTCATCTACACAATTTATTCATCTATACAATTTATTCACCTATACAATTTTTATTTTTAGGTCACTCTGGTGGATGTTGAAGAAGGTTAGATAATTGCGATGTTCAAAGGAGTTCGTAATGCACAATGTGGATGGGTAGAGGCCATGGACGATGAGGGTGAATCTGAAGAGGACTGTTTAAAGACTTCACCAGAACGTAAAAAAAGAGCAGTTTCTAAACGTATCACGCTATTTCTTGTGATATATTCTCCAATACGGGGTGTGGTAGAAATTCATCACATGCGTCACGGAACTCGTGTTGGTAATTTCTCGATTGGACAAGGTTGGAATTTAATTACAACAGCTTCTGCACCACTTGGAACTGGTATGGGTGCAGGTCTAAGTTTTTACGAGCGTGGGGGTAGACGTGGATATAGAAACGCTGGTTTGGCAAAAAGTTTTTTGATTGGTCCACAGGGAGAAATTAAAAGAGTTCATGTGCCATTTGAGTGTGCGATCAAGTAAGTGATTTATAATTAATTAATTAATTAATTAATTGTATTATTTTACATTAATAAATATTAATAACACTTTTATTTATTATATAGAAAGCCTATTAATCTTGTTAATGTATTTAAAAATCTATTGAATAAATATGAGTTGGCATCTTTAGAGCAAAAAGATTCCCTTTCACAAGAATTAATGACAACACTTGATCAAATTAATGATCCAAAGATAAAATTAAATGTTTGTGGCAAATTCGAGTTCTCTTTCAATCAATATTTTTTTTATAATTTGTAGTTTTAATAATTACGTAGTTCAAATATTATTTTAGGTACTGATGTCACTTCCTGATACACTTCCTCCAACTTTTCACTTACTTGCCACTCAATCTTCAATTGACTGTATGGGAACATTGGATTCTTTCGATTTTTTAGAATTTATACATGATGTACGTGACCAAATAGCACAGCGTACCGATCAAGCTGATATGAAACTTGTTCGACTTAAAATGGTTTTACGTGAAAATTTATTACATCTTTATCAAACATTGGAAGGGTGGAATGTTGAAACTTGCAATCCGGATTATACTACAACTTATAAAGGACGTCAAAGTATTGAAGGTGTATTTCGACAAACTATAAATTCAATACTTGGTAATATTTTTTCTGACAAAGAGATGATGATTGAGAGAGAAGCAAAAGGAATTGGCCCTAGTTCGTTTATGTCTCCTTTTATACTAAAAAATTTTGACGACATAAGAGATGATGGTGTATTTTTAGTATTAGATGATAATATGGATGAAAAGAAAAAACTTCAATTAGGTATGAGTGGAATTTATTTTATTAGATATTTTATTTTAAAAACATTTAACATATATGTATATATTTTTTATGCTTAATAAGCGGATTTTTTGTTTACACCGTTAATTATATCGACAACTCCGCAAGAATGGATCGAGACAGTTAAAAAACGTATTCCAATATCATCACTCGAGTGGCTTGACATCTTTATGCTTTGGTTTAAATATACAAGCCTACCTTCATTGATCACTTCAATTTTAAAATCAAAGGAGTCAGATTCCAATTTTTTGTTTTTGATTTTGAATGATTTTTCTAACGCCAATGAAGATAAAAGTGTACTTGATAAAGTTACATTCTTTTGTCAGAATTCATCTCAGGTATTTATATCGTATAATGTTTTCAAATTTTTCAAATTTTTCTTCCTCAAGGACCTATAATAAAACAATATTATATATTCGCTTCAGATAGGGCATTGCTTGTTATTGGCTCTTGCTCTTCAGAATTCATCATCTAAAACATCAAAGATATCTTCTATGCATAAAGAGGTAATTTATAGCATGATTTCTGCCAAATTTTTAGAAACTAATACGAAATTCATCTCTTATACCTAATAGATTGATTGGGACTCATTAATAACAAATCTAAAAATTTGTTGGAATTTGGTAAAAGATATTGATCCAGAAATAGTTACTGAAATTGGATTATCTGCTTCTAATTTAAATAAGGTTCGATTTATTATTATATTAATATTGCTATACGCCATTGTGTGTCTATCTTTTAATATTAATACTAAAATGCAAAAATATACTAAAATAAAATATGAATATTAAAGTCGGAGAAAACTAGCTCAGCTCGAATTTCTGCATTGAATGGATTAAAACTTACTGGAAATGTCAAACTTGAGGAAATGGTAATATATTTTTTACGCGTAATCTAAAGCTTGCATTTTTTGAATGACAAACATTAATTTTTTGTGATGTTTATTTTGATCATTATATTAGGAAATAGAGGCAGGAAATGTTTCCCAACCAGATATATCACGTATATATAAGGGTTGGTTATCATGTCAATTATTTAAAAAGGATGTTACAAATACAGGTTTGTATTATTTTATTATGTTAAAAAATAATTATTTGTTACTTTGTAATTCAATTTTAAATAAATTCCATATAATTCAGGATTACTTGAATTTGCAATTAACCAAGCAAAGCGAATTGATAATCCATTACTAAAAAACGCAATTTTGCATTTAATATGGCATAAAATATGCCAAGAACAAGCGAGTTCCATCATGACATTGGTAGAGAAAGCGCGTAAAGCGCCTAAAGATCAGTTATGCATTAAACATTGTGGGATATCACGTAAGCATTTAATAATAAAGTGTTTGTTTCTTATAGTAATCAGTGTTGGCAATTTTATTACCCCTTGGCTCTTTTATTATTCTATTCTATCGTCCCATTGGTTTATTAAAAAACTTTTATTCCAAATTTTATAATTTATTGTAAATATCTATTTAGTTTCTTAATATATATTCAAATCATTTCAAAAAAATTTTTAATAAAGATAAAGTTTTTATATTCGGCAAGGGTTCGGCTGCCAACACTGGTTAATAATAATTGATCTTATCAAATGTTAATTCTCAATATTATATCTAATAGATGGAACAATAGAATTATTTCTGTCGTGTTTAAAAATTTTATTTGAATTATTTATATGGGAACCGAATGAATCTCTGCATGTTAATAATATTTTAGAAGCAGTTGAATCTATCATTGAATTACCGATGGATAATGCTCAAGATAGAAGTCAATATTTGGACGATGTATTTGGAAAAATGATTAGAGAATTCATGACTTTAAAGAATTCAGCAGATAGTAAAATGCTTTCAAGGTATTTTTATTTATGCATTTCTTTTTATAATTAGCTTTGATTTGGATCGTCTTTTTAATCTATTTTAATTTTATAGGAACCTTGTGGATCAACATTTAATATTAGTTCAAGTGTTATTGCTAGTATTTAAAATTGAAGTACGAATGATCAGACCATCAAAATTGTTTGATTCAAATGTATCATTTTTTGACCCCTTATTTTTGGAAACAAGTGACGTAAGAACGATAGTTAGTAATTCAAGGTAACATTTAAATTTTTAGTCACACAAAATATTGTTGATATTTATATAGCTGATCATTATTTATTTATTTTTTTTGAATAGGATCACGGATGAACGTATGACATTCATAAAGAAATTAATTGAAAAATCATCCGATAATTATTCAGATATTTTATTATTAGCTGATAAATTTGGGTTAGACCAGAATGTGATAAAAGAATTTTGGCAAAATAAGTACGGATTGGTTAATATTTAAAAATACCATAGGTGGGTTAAAATATTTGGGGGAGTGAAAAGGGACTAATTTTTAATATGTAACTTTTTTTTACATTTAATATATGTTGTTATTGTCGATCGAGCTTAAATACTGTAATTAATGATATTAGTATATAAATTTTGCTATCATCCTTAAAAAAAAAAAAAAGTGATTTCAAACCACCGTCCTCTTAAAATAAGCACCCCTTTTTTGCTATAAGGTTTGGGTATATTTTCAACAATATAATAATTTGAATGATTTGATATTTAGTTACCTATTTCTATTATATAAGAGGTGCTTATTTTCGGGTATATATAAATTGTGGGGTGCTTATTTTCGGAGGAATACGGTATTTTATTTTAATGTTTGTTTCGAGCTTATATGATTGGTTAATATCTGAAACGAAACGAAAAAAAAAACGTTTTTCGTGTTCTTTTTCTAAGGTACAATTACCAATAAATCTTTTTTTAGAATAATCTTGTATATGTATCCGATGAATAAGGATACTGGATCTTAAATTTGGACACCAAGTTACAATATGGTGCCGTCAAGGGAAAATCTCGTTTTGGGCTTTCATAAATTCTTGTTTTATCGTTATATATTGCTGTAGTGGTCATGAATAAAGATGCTGGTGGAAATTGGTGAAATTAAATTCCACCAGCTTCTCTTGTCATGAATTTTTTGTCATATAATTAGCTAACAAGTGTCGCGTTTCAGTAGGGTGTGTAGCGGGCTATTAAAATCAAACATACTAATGCTAATTGCAGATTTTTTATGCACACATCAATCTTATTAAAACAAAAATTACATTTATTGAAATAAATAATTAACTAAATAGAATACTATTTTTTTTTTAAATTGAACCTCAAGACTAGCTCTACACTGAAATAGAGCTATTTTTTTTTTTAATATTATTATTATAAAAAATATTTAGAACACTAATAATTAGCACAAGTCGAAATATAGCCTATCGGGCAAATGTCAGCTTTTTTTAGCCCCGATATTGCACTGATTAATGGCTTGAATCGTGGCATTTCCAGGTTCATATCGGAGCTAATAGAGCTATTGGTTAGATATCAGAAACCTGATAGCTCTTATAATTTTACTAATAGCTCTATCAGTTCCGATACGACTAAAAAAGCTATGATCGTATTGTGTATATTTCATTAGGTCATACAAACTTAATAAATTATATTACTCAGTTAGGTCAATTTTTGCAAAACTTTTTCAGAATTCTGACACCAAAATACCAACGCTTAAAATCCCCAAAAGCAATTTTTGATACTATCGGGATTTTGAGCGTCGGGATTTTAACTATCGGGAAAACCAAAATTCCATTAGAAAATCCGCAATTAGTGATAATCATTTTTTTTTTTTTTTTAATATTAAGGTGACCACTTAGGCCCCTGGCACTTTATTAGTTCAAACGGGTGGGCCGTCCG